ACTGCCCTTCCAAAAAGTTACTGAAATAGACTGAGACTGTAAGAACATGAAACGTACTGCCACCATCACTTCCTTCTTTCACCATATGGGTAGTATTGAGCATGCCTATCAGTCTCTTCCTGAAGCCTCACATACAACACCACAAGGTAGGCCAGAATAATTCCTTTAGTATTATGGATTAAAAGCTGGGGGAAAGCTGTTACTGAGCTGAGACTTTAAGTTTCCATATGGGTGTTGTCATCTTCTCAGAGGCCATAGAAATATATTCAAGATATAGTTGAATTGTGAGCCTGCACACTGCTCTGTAGCCATCAGATTAAATCTTTAAAACACTTGCTCTTTGGAATGGTCATTCAGATGCATTGAGGTGGATGAATAGATTAAAAGAAGATCTACAGAAAACATCCTTCCATATAGTCAAAGGGGATGCACCAACAGGATTAATTTATATATCAGACACCCAAACCAGCAGGCAGTTTAGTAGGATCCAAATTATCTTAATGCACTGTAATGGTGATTTTGACACCCAGCAGATGAAGGTATTGACTCTGTATCCTATAGATTACACCATGTCATGTTAGTGGTACACATCTCTACTTCTACAAGTAATGGCAAGTTTCATGGGCACAGCACCAACCTAAGGGCTGGTTTCCTTTGAAAGGAGGTCCATGGAGACTTAATGGTATTTATTTACATAATTTATTGCATTTATTTACAAATATATGAGTTGAACATAGCTTGAGGTATAGCTTAAGCTCTCTAAAAGATAGCCAAAGTCCACTGCTCAGCTCTCCAAGGCAACAGCTAGCATCTTAAGATGTTCACAGAGCCCAGACTCAGCTGCCTGTGTCTCTTTGCCTGACTGGAACAGCAATCTTTTGTTTTAGTTTCTCCACATACAAACACCTTAGGTGCTTATAGATGGAGGGATTCTAGCACTACTGATTGGAAAACATTGCACAGTTATTCCATCTTTCTATCTTTAACAGATGTCTGTGGTAAAGAAAAACACAGGAGGATTATGAATGACGATGACAATATCTGGACTTATAAATAAGGCAGTACCTGGATTCAGAGAACACAATAATCCATATTTGTGGGTTGAGGATAGATTGGCCTTTGTCTGTTGTTTAACCCTGGGTGGTTGTTGAACCATGAGTAATTTGTGTTGTCTGAACCCAATTGCACTAACAAGCTATGGCTTGTTAACCAAAACAAAGCAAAAAACACCCCGAAGAGAAGCCGTTGTTTTTGCAGAGTTGTGAACTGTGGATTATTCACCATGTTTGTTAGTTTGATTGGGTCCAGGCAACATGTTGTGTCAATAAAAATCCACAGTCAACCCATACTCAACCTTTGAGTGTGGGTTATTGGGTTGTCTGAACACAGTAGTGTAATGGTACAATAAGAACCTTGCCTGAAAACATCCACTGTCCCTTCCTCTTGGCTATGGGGTGGAATCTTGATGAGTAATTTCCTTTGATATTCACCTAGCCTTTCTGAGCCATCATAAAGATACATCTCTTTGAACAACAGGGGCCATCACTACTCTTTTGTCAGTGCCATTAAGTATTGCCTCAATACAAATTGCACTGATAGCCCTCAGAGAAATCTAATAGGATAATGTGATTACCAGGCTATCACAATGCATCTCATACCATTTGGAGGAATAAGTATTTGTATGGTTTTGTTCTGAAATCAACAGAATATTGTGCTGGATTGGTGCCCATTACACAAAGTTCATAGTTCAAGTGTCTTCTCAGCTACAGGTGAGTTAATGATTTTATAATGGACATCTTTCAACTTCAGTCTTCCCACCACTGGGAAGTTGCAGTCTTGGGAAAATAATAGTGAATGTGGATTACTAAAATGATAATACGGACACCCAGGAAAAGTACTACATGAATTCTAAGTACTTCCTATATGATGATGGGGGGAAGGGCCCATTGGCTCTTTGTGGCCCTCCCCATGTGGGCCTGACCAATAGCGTTCTATCAGTTCTACCTGTTCTTTTCATACAGATTATGTCCTGTTTAGTTCAACCATCTTAGTTTATTTCAGTACCTATTTAGAAGGGTTTGTTAGATTAAGGTTTGTTTATTATACAGTCAGAAGGGCCATCAAAAAACAAAACATCAACAAATTCCATTCTCTAACATAAAAAGGTTAAACTGTAGCAGTATAAGTAAATATGAAGATTAAATAAACTTTAAAACAAGAAAGGCCAGAATATACCCACACTAATGAAAATCATTTACAAGTCTTTATAGTTCCTTTATAGTTCCACTCAAAAATACCACTCAAAAGTCTTCCCTGAGAGTTTTGATAAAATAGGAGCAAGAGCTCTTATCTTGCTAATCTGCATATAATTATGTACAAACAAAACACATATTATCAAAAAGACAAACCCATTCATTACTGAGAATATAAATAAATGTTCCCGGAATAAAGCAGAGGTGAATGATACAGACAACATTTATTTTTAGTCTCTTGGGAATGGTCCCTAAAGACCACCAGGTAAACATCCAATCACCCTTGCTTTAATGTATTCTAACTGCCATTTGGAAATCATGTGCATTTCTACTTCCATTTACAATGTATTGGAGTAACAATGTACTCCAATAAGCCATTGGGTGACATTCATTTTCATATGCCAAAATGGCTGAGGAAGATAGGATGGATGGATGAATGGATGGATGGTAATTGGCTGGTAGCATTTTTATATGAAAACTCTCAGGGCATTGTTGACATATGTTCCAAAATTTCATAGTCAAAAATAGCAAATGTATTTTTGCCACTCTGTCACTGACCTGTAATGCAGCCAATTTGTAATCTTGTAAATTATTCAAATTAGGATACATGTTGATAAAGAAATATACAATATACAAATAAATCAACAAACTTTTACGGGAGTGATTGCTGTCTAAAAATGTCTGGTGCATTTCCCCCCAAACAAGTTATGAATTCATAACACAAGAAGGAGTATGTTCCTTTGATTCATTAGAATATGAGAGATCAAAAGCAGTCAAGCTGGAACACACTGGTGAAAGCAAGAAGAAAGACTAGGAGAAATACTTTGTAATTTCATCATTTACAGCCTGTACTGTATACAATTTCAATAAAGGACTTAAAACATAAGACACTATTACAACAAGCCACATTTTTAAAAAACTGAAAATTCTGTCCATTAAATAATGTTTATCATAGCATCAAAGCAATTGATGTTTAAGATGCATATCTAAAAATAAGTCATCTGCAATGTATTTATCTTCCAATACTAAAAAATGAAATAGTAAAATCTCTGATTGTAGTGCATTTATCAAATATCATTTTGGATTAAATGTATCTATTCTATGACATCATTCTAAAACAAGTTTTATGAGATTCTATCTAGGACAGAAATATTCTATTCTTTACTGACTTGGTGTTCTTCAGAAACAAGAGAAAATTAGCATTGTATCTGAAAAATAGCTTTTCTATATGCAGTAATCCAAATGGCGACTGGAATTACATTTTTTATATTTTCACTGAGCCTGTAGAATATCATGGATTGGAATCCATACATCATCTTTAGTAGTTTTGAAGTCCAGGACGTGAAAATAAAATGGCTACCATGCTGAAAAAATACCTTTGCAATAAGATGTGCTTCAGTCACAGGGGAAGAATCCATTTTTAAAGAAGCTTTATGAAATGTATAGCAACATTTAATATTTTTGCCCCTATATGTGATTTTTAGATACTTTTAGAAATGTCAGGAAGGCTGCATTTCACTAAATCTGATGAATTCAAACTTGATCCGCATATTGGATCATCTCATTCTCTCCCCCTCCTGTCATTTTAGAAGATGTTCGGATTGGTTGAACTAACACATTAAGTTAGGTTCTGTCCATTAAAAAAATCTGTAAGTACTGCTAAAAGAAATTATGGACAGAAGGTATTTTAAACATGTTTATAATTTTCAGCAGTCTATAATTTTAGGTATCCTTCTTCAATATTTAGACAGAGTGGCTCTTTACAGGTAAGTGTACTACTTGTATGCCATTACTGACCACTTCATACAGTGGGCTCTGACAAAGATAGACAGTAGCTTTAAGTAATCAATTCAAGATGAAAGGGTTTCCTGTAACATGCAGTGCTAACACCTCACACCATTTAAGAAATTATATCCATGCAAAAAAGAACAAGAGACCACTACTTGCACTGTGGAATTAAATAATAATAAATACCTTTGCATGTCTGCTGTTGCATCCTTTAACAGGACTTGGTTGCCAAGGAAACAGGTTTTGGCCCAATATTAACATGAAACAACTGCATGTTATAATCTATGTCCATACAATAGTGATGTTAGCATAATTCATAGATCAGTATAGCTACATATGCTTGGTTGTAATTTGTGAACTACTTACAAAAAAGACAAATCCTAATTCATATTCAGGTCAAGATGACAGGGGTGTCGTCAGGTCTTTCTCTCTTTAAAATACTGGACATCCAAAAAGATCTCTCTCTTTACACACACACACACGCTAATAATTAAATACGTCTTTTAGCTTGGCAATCTTTATAAAATAAGAATGAAAGCAGAATAAGGTTCCAGAGCATATGCCAAGAGACCGCTCCCAAGGGCAGAATTTAAATATTTTAATTTTTTTTCATAGCGATGTCCACAACTTATAGCTTTGTATCTTAGTGAACAGTCCATTCATTTTCCTTTTTGACTCCAAATTTCTCTAGAACATTGGGCTTAAAAAAAAAAACTTTCGTTGCATAAGCGCTGCCACGCCCTGCTTATCTAGCAGACGTGATATTTTCCATTTTAGAGTAGATGTATATTTTGAGACAGGCAAAATCTACTACTATGTAGAGTCACAAAGCTTTGAACTTGAACCTTAAAATGAACGAAATTAACTTGTTTAACTGATCCTAGTTATATTTCCAATTTGTATTTCACATCCTCGTACCATGGAACAAGCATTGGTAAAAACATGCAAATCTCCACCTACCTGTGTATGGGTCTTAGTGAAGCCTTAGTATGGCAATGCTCCCAGCCATTGGTATTTAAAGTGATGGAAAGACACTGGCATCTCGATCATCCCAAAAATAAAAATAAAAATAGGTGCTCTTTTCAAAAGCAGCTTGCTTGAATGGGCTGTGATCAAGAAAACTGAACTTATCAATGGAATGGAGAGAAGTGTGGCGGGGGTGTGAGGAGGAGATGTCCTCACACAAGGTGGTTGGGGTTTTTTTATGCTGCAGCACAAGGGTTGCCTCCCCTCCCCACCTTTTGATGGTTCAAGGCTTGAAGCTGACCACTGCAAAGGCCACTTGTCATATTTGCTGAAAATCAGTCTAGTGCTGTCCCTGCTGAAAAGAAAAACTCAGCAACTAAAGCCAATTGAACACCGTGCACAGACTGCGTAAGAGTTAAAAATAGATTGGACATGCCTGCATAATAAATATGTCAGTTTCAAGGGGTTTAATTTGATATTGCCATTAATTAGCAATACAACATACATTATTTAAATAGCAGTAAAGGCAAGAGAAATAAGAGTGACACCACCTGGAAGCAGAGTTCGCTTAATCTGATAAAATAAAATAAGAAATAAAGCTAATCCTGGTTTGAGAATGTGACAACGAACTAACAACTCTACTCTGGTAATGAAATTGAACTCTAAAGGTGGCTGCTTAAATAGCTATACCATTCAGGAAGCCCAGGTTTTCACTACGAGATGGCACACAGACCATTTACATACTCCCGTTAGAAATACTAGGCTTGGTATAATGAATTCTGTTTCTACAGCATGCACACAGCACAAGCAACATTAATCCTGCCTGCCATTTTAGGCTTGCAGCAGAATGATACACGCTACAGAGCACAGATCTGGTAAGAAGAAAGGCAAGGGACTGCTCACCTTAAATGAAGTATTAATGTTGTTAAGTGACATTGCAAATCTGCTACCGAGTCTTAGAGCAACTGGGTGGGAGGGAACAAAGAAAAAAATGTCATCAACTGATGATGCAAGATGAATCATTATTGTGTACAGTTCAGCAAAGCTCCATGTTCTTCTATGATGCAGTCTTAAGTATTTCAGATTCTGTAGCAAAGCATGTGTGAAGAATGGCTGTCTCCTTCTACCAAGAAAAGCAAGAAGGCTTCCCTTTAGTATCTGGAGGGCAGGGATGGAAAGAATATCTGCAGAAACATCTTGACGAAAGAAGATTTCATATAGTATGTATTAGATTCTAGATGTGTGTCACTATTGCTGTTTTCTTATTTTCTGAACCAATGTATTTTGCTTTTATTTATCTTGATGCTGCTGTTGTTGATGCTGCTGTTATGAAGCTTGTAAAAAGACAAAAGCACCATTGCTCCAACTCTCATTCTGGATGTCGAAAAGCTGAGCATATTGACAAAATTGCAAGCTCACAGGGTCTGGCTGCAGAATCAGCTGTCTGCATCTGTGTTGCACCCTACTTAACCACAAGCAAGGTTTCGTGCTAAATATATCTACAAGGCATAAACGGAAGCTATTTTGCTGTATAGATTACATTACAAAATGCTTGTCCATCCTTAAGATGAGGGTCTATTAGAAAATGTGCCGCATTCTTCTGCCTTGCTTTGCTTATCAAGCTGCGTAGGGCTATAAAGTCAGCTCCTAAACATCGTGACCTAAATAATGCTAAGATGGCTTAAGTAGCATACAGACACAGCTACATGTTTCAAAGCAAGGAATGAAATGAGGATTGTCTAATCAGACTGAAAGCACAGATGTGGCCACAGTGCCAATCCCAGGCTGCAACATGCGGTATGTGCACATCTTGTGTTAGGGAAAGCGACGCAGTGCTTCTTTCTTTTTGTTGCTCTTGGATCATTGTTGCTGTTTTCTCCTCAGAGGCTTTTCTTAGCTACAGTAGCACAGCGACATACTGACATCATGGAGGTCAATGCAGGCACTTGAGTACTGTTAATTGTAATGATCCGAATCCAAATGAACTTTAAAAAATTAAAAGCAAATACAGTAATGCAGCATCTCTTGGCAGCCATTCCTCTTGCTTTTGAGAGTAATAGTGATTTCTTTCATTTCACTGCATAAAGAAATTTGCCAGTATTCTCAATGGAGGCTGTGAGAAGGCAATTGTGGGGAATTCAATTTTTAAAATAAATAAAAAGAGAGATTTTGAAACAAATGTCTTTTCCCCCAAAGACACTTAAATTGCATTAAAAATGTAAGGTGGAGAGAAGAGAACAAGAAAATGGATTACAAGCATTTCTTAACGCTTAGAATATGAATGTTGTCTTGCTTTCTATTTGATGCCAGCATTTCCCCAAGGGGAAGTATTAGGAAAGAATAGAACAGCTTGCTATGACCAGTGCAGGATTCCCGAAAGACTGAAATGTTAGTTAAAGGGGAAAAAAAGAATCACTGAACATCTACTTGCCTATAGAAGGATTATATCCTTTCCTTCAACAATATGTTCCTTTTAGGTTGTTAATTCTTTGCTGTAGCCTGTCCTCTCCCCTTTCCACTCCGCTACCACCTACATTGAAATTTGCTAGAATCTTGCAACAGTGCACACGTATTTTTACCTCATGGGTATCTTTTCCATGAATGTTAGAAATCTAATCTTAAATTATGCACCAAATGCATCTAAGCATTTATGAGAGATTAAGTGAGGGCATGTGTTTTGATATAAATTCCTTTCTACCCAAAGGAATGCTTGGTAATAAACATGGCTGTAATCTCAACATATTTACTCCTGGACTAGTTATCAGTAGGCATTACTTCCAATCTGTATTGTAACTGTTAGTTCCAATAACACTTAAATAACTAGTGTGTGATGTGAATAAATCATTAGTAAACGTGATCAGAATATTCTACTTTCTCGGATCATTTGACCCATGATTTATAGCACATCATGCTTACAGCATAATTTTATGCCTATCTACTCAGAAGTAAACCCCACTTAGTGAGACTTGCTCCAATCCAATATGCTACACTTCCGTACACCAGTCATATGTAGGATTGCACTGTACAATCCTTGGCTCTTTTTTTTAAAACTGTATTTCAGGTTTAGTTCATTGCATCATCAAGTTTTATAGTTTGAGAATCAAAACAATTCAGAAAAATTGGTCAAAGAACAACTGTAGCAATCCAGAAGTAACAGAGGTTGGGCTCATAAACAGGTGTGACACTTCTATCTTATTACAAAATAAATATTCTTTTCTCAAGGCTGCGTGAATAGTCATGGGCTTGCTGCAGTATAACATTTTTAATTTAGTAAAAGCATTCTAAAGACCAATAGCAAAACGCCAGGTGATTGGAATGAGTGAGAAGTTTGTACTGATGTTAAAAAAAAGTGGTTGGCATGGCAGTATGTATTTGTGGGCTGTGTTGAACTACAACACAGTTTTTTGTCCTTGGCTGTTTGACACAATAGTGCAGTTCAGCATGTTGAATCCTGATTCAACATAGAGGAGACTCACTGAAATCAAAGGGACTTGAGCTCAATTTCAGTGGACCTACTCTAAGCAGGACAAAACCTGGTTCCCATCCAGACCATTTGCAGGAATTTGGATTATTACAGAACACATGAAATTACCTCATACTGTATTTATTCATTAGCTTGGTGTTGTCTGCTTCCAAAGCAGGCATCAAAGGATGGCATTTTACTTTAACTAGTAGCAGCTTTTGAAAGTCTCAGGTAGAGGCCTTTCACATCAGTTACCCTGTTACTGGCAGCCCTTGAGAAATTTTGGCCAACACCCCCATTATTCCTAGTCAGCATAGCCAAGGATGAGGGATTTTGAGAGTTGCAGAGCAAAAGATCTGCGGGGAGACAAACTGATCACCCCTGCTTCAAGTGGAGAAAGCAGGGACTGACGTCTGGATTTCCTGCATGTAAAGGATGTGAGCCACCAAAGAGCCACTGTGCTTTCCCTTATTTAATGCAGAGCATGGGTCTTCCATGAGACAGAAGTGACCATTGCGAGCCCCACATTTTTGGAGCTCCAAGTAAGACATCCTCAGAGAACCCCCTACCGTTTCACTACTTTTGTCAACTCTTTGCTGTTGTGCCTCTTTACCATTGTTACCATTTGCTTGCTTGACAGACAGAGAACAGGTAGGAGCAAGAGAGCGAGACACAGAGCAAGCAGGGGCTGGGATCTACTGCTCTTGCTTCTCGCACCACAGACATGTGGCCAGAGTGAAAGCAGCAGATAAAAGGGGAGGAGCAAGTCCAGGTTAACTGTTGTGAGTCATTCTGCATATGGACCCTTGACAGGTGCCCAGCCATGCCTATCCTTGATGCCAGCCCTGCAAATGACCATTATTTCAACTTTCAGCTGCCAGTAAAGTACAGTGCAGCATTTTTCATGTTGGGATATTGTCCATGAAATTCCGCTTATCTATATTTTTGCATGGAATACTTTCAATTTCAAAACTGCATTGTTTCATAAAATGAAGTAGCTACATTATGAATACATTCAATGATCAAGCTTTCTTAAAATAGGAAGTTTCATCATTGAATCAAGTGAGTGGGAGGCAATCTAGCATGAAAAATAAACAGAACTTTTTCAGTTTCATCAAGAATACAAGAAAATGCTCTAAAAACAGCTCTTTAGTGACACTTGTCATCTCTAGAGTTAGACTATATGTATAAAGAGAGTATGGCCTTCCCGAACCTGGAGCTTTCCAGATGACTTCAGCTCTTGATTATTGGCCATGCTGTCTAGGACGGATGGATGTTGAAGTCCGAAATATCTGGAGGGTACCAGGTTGGTGAAGGCAAACAAATGTGCTAGGAAGTAGCAATGAAATCATAACCTATTTATGGTGGAAGCAGTAGACAAAGATGGATTAGTTTGTTTAAAGCATGTACAAAATCTTGAAATAGCTTTGCTTTGTATGTTTGACAGTCTAAACAAAGATCTATCCCATACATTGTTGTCATTTATATTAACAATTACAAGAGACAGCTTGTAACCAAATGTTCAAAAAGATACAGATTAATCAATTGAATACTGATACGTCCAACTATGAAATGATAGACATCCAGAAAAGCCAGCTAAACTCAGAGCAGCAAAAATATAAAATGAAAAACAAAGCCGAAGCATATTTGGCACACTGTGAAGGGCACCTCTGAGTAACTGAGCATCAGCACAGCCTTCTCCAATTAAATATTAGTTATCTTTATCATGTCACCCAATTAATGAATTTGTCTCTAAACCCTTGTGCTGTCCCATAACTACTGATGTTATTGTACTATGCAATGTTGT